GTGTGTGGAAAAGGAGGAGTTGCTTAGCCACTCTTTACGCAGAAGCATCCCAAGTTTCACCAAGATGCAGAGAAAGCTGAGCTGTCAAAAGTGGGTGCAGTCCCTTTCGTAGGGACATCCTCGTGAACCCTGTTCTTGTGAAGATCGAGTTCCTCTGCAGCGACAAATTAGCTCGCTCTAATACAGCAGTGCAAAGGCTGCCTTGGTGCGAGGCCAAGGCATAAGGTCAAGAGAGCGGTGGGAGACTGGTTTAAAAAAAATAACCGTCATGTTAATGAAAAGAACGTTACATTTATTTCTATAATTGCTGTTGTTTAGAGGAACTTGGAAAGAAAGCTGGCTTGTTGCACAATAAATCAGAGATTACATGCTGCTACTGAGTAGTTTTTCTACTTTTCCATCTCAGTTCATCGTACTCGGATTTTAGGCTGTGGCTTGAGCATTGAAGCACTTGCTAGCTCAGTGATGCAAAACTACCCACCAAGGAACGGTCCCACTTTACTCTCCTGGTGTCACAACTGAGATGTGCTGCACCTGGGTGTTGTCCTAGCAGACATGAGGCAGCTGGAAGCTGCACAGTTGAAACCTGGGCCTCCTCGAGAGTGAGCTGCTTTTTGAAGATGCATATTTAATATAAAAACAAGTCGGGTCCGATAGGTTTTCCCGACGTGAACACGCTCAAGGTCTCAAGCGGACTGTCATTAACCAAACCAGGCTTCACTGCTTAGTGTCCGTTTGCCTTAACTCCACACCCTGGTACCCATCCAAAGTATCTCATTTCATCTAATGAGGCTTAAAAATAGCCTGGAATACCCATCGCCCTGCAGCAACCCATGTCTTAAAATCCCTATTAGTATTTCTTGTTAGCTTTCATTTTTTTTTTTTTTTTTTTGTCTCGTTGCAGTCTTGTTGAGCTTAGATTTTGTGTGTGTGTGTGTGTTTTGCCGTGTTTTTTGGGGAGTTAATGGGACATTATAGTGATTTATCAGTATTCTGGATCCTTTAAGAGTGTAATTTAGAAATCCGTGCCCTTCATGCACCAAGTGCCGCTTTGCTTTGTGAAGATGCTGAAGGTGGCAAAACCTGACCCTTTTCCAGCACATGCCTCTTGGCGTGGTACAGCAATGACCAAACCGGCTCCAAAAAGGCCATTGGAGGTGTCTGAAGTGAAGCTTCCCGGTGTTCTCAGAGGAACAGGTGACGGGGCGGGAAGAGATGGGAAGGTGGGTGGATGCAAAAGCCGAGCCAGGAGTGCCGGGGAGGCCGGACACGCGGCTGCACTTTGGACCCTGCCAGGCCGACCTGCAGTTGGCGTGGTACAGCAATGACCAAACCGGCTCCAAAAAGGCCATTGGAGGTGTCTGAAGTGAAGCTTCCCGGTGTTCTCAGAGGAACAGGTGACGGGGCGGGAAGAGATGGGAAGGTGGGTGGATGCAAAAGCCGAGCCAGGAGTGCCGGGGAGGCCGGACACGCGGCTGCACTTTGGACCCTGCCAGGCCGACCTGCAGCGCCCGGCTCCGCTGCGGCAAGAGGCTCTGGGCAGGATGTGGCGGCTGCTGGGGGCCGTTTGCCGTGTGCCCCGGGGAGCCAGGATTTCTGCGGGCGCCCGGCAGCTGCGGCCGGGTTGGGGCCAGGACCCTAAGCCCACGGCTC